TTTGCTTTCTTTACATGTCTGGTAATTTTTGACTGGATGCCAGTCATTGCAAATTTTATTTTGTTGGGTATGAGATATTTTTGTATTCCTATAAATATTCTTAAGCTTTGTTCTGGGAGCAGTTAAGTTACTTGAACTCAGTTTGATCTTTTTCAGTCTTAAAATTTAGTAGGCGGACCAAAGCCATGTTTGGCCTAGAGTTGATTGTACCCTTCTACAAGGCAAAACCCTTCGAAATGCTCAGTGTTTCATGAATTATGAGGTTTTCAAGTCTGGCTGGTGGGATAAGACCTTACTGTCAGCCCCAGAAGAGTACAATGCACTATTCATAATTCTTTATGTTCTTTCTTCAAGCTAAGGAAATTTCTTCACGTTCATGCATTGGTCAGTATGCTGCTGGTTATTTACCGAGGGCCATCTAGGCCTGCTGAGTTCTTTCTCTGAATAGTCCTCTCTCTTCTGGTGCCTTGTCTGACAAGCTCTATCTGCTTTAGTTGCTTGCACTCTTAGCTTTGTCTGTTAATCCCAGTGAATTCACCAGCCTCTCCAGAGTTCCCACTGCCAAAGCCACAGTCAGAAAACTCTTCCAAGGAAATAAGCCAGGGAAATGTTTGATTGTTCGTCATTTGCTTTGTGACTCTCAGGGGTAGCTGTCCTTCTCTACCAGATGTCCAGTGTCTCAAACGTTATAGATTCATACAGTTTTGCCTTTTGGGTTATTTTCAGTGTGATGTTAAATGTGGCCCCTGTTTCTTCTTGACCCAAAGGAGAATTCTTTATTCACTTCTGCAATTATGTGGGGCCAGATAGCTTGTGATTCCTGATGTGGGGACGCTGTTAGGACCCTCCAGTTCTCATCACCTGACAATACCTTGATTTATTTCTTGGGCATTAAATGATCATGTTCCATTATTGTGGAATTTTCTTCCCCACTTCTCACACCCATTTTACAAGTTTGATGCTAGCTGTTTTTCATATAACATTTTTATTAAGTTTTTGAGAATTTCATACATGCTTCTGATATATTTTTATGCTGTCATCTGTGAAGGTGTAGATGGATAGGGATATGGACATGGACATGGACATGGTGATGGAGATGGACATACTTAAGGGAGGATTTAAGACACCATTCATTGTGAGATGTATTCTTGTGTAAAATATGAAAGTATGTTTCTCTTAGATTCAATGAAATAGGGCATTTTGACAATAGGCTTTTTCTAACTGATTAAATATGTTGGATGGCAGTAGACCTAGGCAACTAATAAAATTTTCCAATTGAAAATGGAGAGCATTGTTTGACCTCTCCAGCATATATCCTCTGCTGTGTAGTTACTGATGGACTTAGGAGGGACGGAAAGTTGAAGAGCTTAAATATTCAGCTTCTTACTTTATGAGGTATGTTGTAAGGGCACTAAAATTGGGGTAAAGATTTCAAACATATCATCAAAATCTCAGTATTGGCAGACTTTTTATAAGTAGTCAATTTTTATTAACAGCCCTTTCATTTTAGAATAAGATTATTAACACCAGAGGGAAGATTCCCTAAAACATGGATTTATCAGCAGATCTAAAAGTGAGATAAACTCAGACATCAGATTAAGAAAACTCCCTTCTCAAAGGATTAGATTGTCACCTTTCTCTGGTTCACCAGTGAATCATTCAGAACATCCACAAGATTTGAAAATTCATCCAAAACATCCCAAGTGTAAAAGTGTGGGAAGTATATACCAGTATAAAGTTTCAAAGGAAAGCTTTGAGGTACATTCCTGGTAACAATTCTCCTGTGAAAGGCCACTTGCAACACATGTATGTGAAGTGACAGAATCCATGATTCCCACAAATAACTTGTTTATTTAACAGTGAAAGATGTTATCTAATCTCTTTCAAAGTTTTGATTAGAAACCTGGAAATGAGTTCCAAAGACTGACATCATGCATCTGTCAACAAAACAAGAATATATTAGGGCAGATGCAGTGGTTCGTGAGACTGCGCCTTTGTAGGAAAGAACACTCAAGGGAATGTGTGGAATGATGAGAGGGGACTGGTCACTTTCCCTGCCGGCCACATCACCTGCATTAGTCACTGAGGAGGCAGGGCTCTCAGTGCACCAGGTTGTTCACAAATCCTGGCTTCTAAACACCTCTCTGTGTATAACAGTGAACAGGAAGTAGAGGAATCTTTGAACCTGTCTTAAATCACTGGGAGTTTATTGTCAATGCAACAGATTTACACTTCAAAGAGTAGCTTTATCAACACGCAGAAAACAAAGCTTCGTTTTCCATTTTCTTTTTTCATTTTTTGAGCATTTCATACGTTGTCTTTACATCATTTCCAACCCTCCCACTACCCCTCCAACTCCTCCCATGTCTTCCCATTTACCCTTCTTGAATTCATGACCTTTTCTTCTGTAATTATTATTGAGTCCAATTAGTGTTGCCTATATGTAATGTGTTTAGGGATGACCACTTAGGATTGCCACATCAAGAGCATATTTCTTAAATATTGTGATATGAACAATTCATAGAGAAGAAAGGAATAGATAAACATGTTGGATATACCCTGAGTTAAACAGAATGAAACTGTTTCTTGGGTTCAGGGCCAAGTCTGGAAAACTAGTGAGAACTAATGAAAGGGCCTTGAGATTTCCCGTGAACAGGATCCATTAAACAGGACTTCCTATGGTTCCCCTTGGGTTCTTTTCTCAGGGACTGTCATGGTTGATTCCCTGGCCTCCAGTATGAAACTTAACACTAAGAGGCTTCTAAAAACTTTATAGAGGGCACAGGAGAGATGGTTTGGTGGGTAAAAGCATGGCTGTTCTTGCAGAGGACCCAGGATCCATTCCTAGCACCCACACCAATGTTAACAACCATCCTTAACTCTAGTTCTAGGGGATTCAATGTGCTCTTCTGACCTCCATTGGCATTGCTTAACACCAGTGTACCTACTACATGCACACATACATGTATTTTACATACACATAAAATAAAAATAATAAAATATTTTTAAAAGTTTATGGAATAAAGTAAAGCCTATAGAGTCAAATTTGTGTCCCCAAATATCCTTCATTATGGGTTTATCCACTGGAGCCTGGTCAACCTACCAAGAATTTCACCCTTAAACAAGACAGAACGACCCCCCACACCTCCCAGTAGCCATCAGATGCCAATACTTCTTCAGGTAGGGTTGAGGTTTCTTACCCACTTTCCATGTCTATGCTGGGATTTTTGTCAGCCAGATTTTTTAAAAGTTTTTTCCAAATATGGGTGGTATATGTGAAGAAATGTTAAATAATCATTTATGAAGCATTTACAATGTATAGAAATAGTAATGAAAACAGTTTGATCCTCAAGAACTAGAAGGATTTTGAGGGATTCAGAGCATTCTAACATTTTCCCCTCCTCTGTTCAGCCCTGCTTAGCCAAGACTCTGCCAGAAAGAAGTGCGGATTCTGATATAATGCCTCATCCTTTGAACATTATATGGGTTTTATTTTTATTTTTTAATCCAATGTAAATGTTCTAACTCAGAAAAATTTGATGGTATTTTTAAATCAAGAAGGGTGCTTTGCAATTCTTTTTTTTCTGTTTGTTTACATTTTGTTTTGTTTGTTTGTTTTTTTGAGACAGAGTCTCACTATGTAGCTGCAACTGGCCTGGACTCACTGTGTAGACCAGGCTGGCCTCAATCTTACAGAGATCTGTCTGCCTCTTTCTCCTGAGTTTTGGAATTAAAGGCTTATGCCACCTTGTCCGAACCTATAAAATCCATTTTTTAATATATCAAAATTCATATTTTCTGGAACTGTGGAGATGGCTCAGCAGTTAAAACCATGAGAACCAGTTCTTGTACCCATGTTGGACAGCTCGTAACTACCTGTAACTCTAGCTCTAGGGGTCAGACACCCTCTTCTGGCCTCAGTCACCAATTATGCACATAGCCCCATGTGGACACACACACACACACACACACACACACACTCACACACACACAATTTTAAAATAAAATAAGTCTCTTTAAAAATTCATATTTTTGCCAGGTGTGGTAGTCAGGCCATTAATCCCAGCACTGGGGAGGCTGAGGCAGGCAGATCTCTGTGAGTTCAAGGCCAGCCTGGTCTATATAGCGAGTTACAGGCTAGCTGGTCTACAGGGAGACCCTGTCTCAAAACAAACAAACAAAAGTCATACTTTTTGGTCTTTTTGAGACAGGGTCTCCCCAGCTGTCCTGGAACTTGCTATGTACACCAGGCTGGCCTTGAACTCACAGAGATCTGCTGCCTCTGCCTCCCAGGTGCATATTTTTAAAAGAATAAAATCCCCTTAAGTTGAGTCACTAGCTTTTTTGACAGATTTTATTTTAAAGAAACTAGACATTTTAATCCCAAAATATTGGCTTTCACATACCAAATTTCAAATACCAAAAGAAAGTAAAATGGTCACTTTTTTTATATTTGTTGTCACTGCCTTTGTATGGGGGACAATCAATAATTTTGTGTCAGATTTGTACTTGTAAAATTTTGCTTTGTTTCTCTCTAGTGGATGACACTGTGGTTGCCATTCCCTATGGAAGTAGACATATTCGCCTTGTCTTAAAAGGACCAGATCATTTGTGTGAGTAAATCCACTATTTTCCTTAGGGGATTGGGAATTTTAGCCATCATTATTAATTTCTGTTCACGGAAGGGATTAAGGCATGAGAGAACCATGCTATAATGTGATATAAGATTTTGAATGGCTTCTGGTTACCTTTCTGCTGCCTGATGACATAGTGGACTCTATGGTCTTTAACCACCATCATCCTGAAAAATACAAACTAGATGGTCCCGGTGGGTTGCTCATGGCTGGGCACATGTTTAGTCTTCGGGACTGTCCCCTTATCTCGCTCTTCGTCCTCGATCGTCACACGTGTGTCTTTCTAATCTCAGCTCTTCTTTCTTTTTCCTCTTTCTAAAATTTACTTCTCCATTCTTTTCTTTTTTCTCTCACACTCCAAATTTTATTACTTCGTCAATCCAGAAGTATATAGAAGTGTGAAATAAACAACACTGTGACATATAAAAGATTTTTGTGAAATAATTAATTATCCTGTGTATTAAGTCAGGGTCCTCATATCTTGAGGATAAGTGGTAGGATTCAGGATTAAAGGATAACTAAAGATCAAGTGGTAGCTTGGTCCCTCCATTTAGGCAGGGTTTGTATAAGAATTGATCTTCATACCCCATCCCACCGGCCACGCCCACAGCCCCTGTCCTCCCCCCAAACCATATACTTTGTTGTCCGTATTAAGGCCCACTGTGTCAAGTCAGTGTCCCCAGATGTTCCCCTGTACAAGTCCATCCACTGAGGTGTAGTCAGCCTCTCTAGAGTCTCTTGTTTTAGGAAGATCAGCTCTTCCTCACCCACCATTCATCAGCTGCCAATGTTTCTTCAGCTAAGATTTGGGTCTGCTGTTCATTTCCCCAGTTCTATGTTGGGTTTTTGCATAAAGATGATTAAGATTGTTTGAGATATTCTGTACAAAACACACTAAAATTCAATAAAAACAAATTATTTAAAAAGAAGAGGTCAGTAAATTGAGAGAGAGTGGGGGTGGACATGTGGGGGTTGGATGGGGAGGGGGGTGCTGGAAAGGATGCAAACACAGTACTCATGTGGAAAACAAAAAGCTTAGACTACACCGGAGAGGTGGCTCAGCAGTTAAGAGCACTGATTGCTCTTACAGAGGACCCGGGTTTGATTCCCAGCATCCACATGGCGGCTAACAACTGTCAGTCACCCCAGTTCCAGGGGATCCGACACCCTCTTCTGACCCCCAAAGACATTGCACTACATGGGGTGTTCTTATACATTTTATACACATGCAGGCCATACAATCATACACATAACATAAAAACAAATGAAAGTGGGTGGGGGCATGGATGGGGAGGGGTCCTAAATTTGACTCAGAACTGTTGTATAAAATGTACAAAATCTCTATAAAAAATTTTTTTAAAGCTTAGACTATTAGGAAAAAAAAAAAAGAAAGAAAGAATTTATCTTCAGTCCTGCCAAGGCAGCAACACAGCCACATCTTTTCCATTACTGATTAGTCCTATTTAGACAGAGAAAAAGTATAGCCAGAAAATTAGTCTACAAACAAAGACAAAGGTGGAAGAGACTCTGCGGGCTATCCCCAAAAGTCACTTCCCCTGAAAGGCTGGACTTCAGGTGTTCCCGTGAGCACTTCTGACCTCCTCCAATCATTCCTACGTTTTCACACTTACCGTCTTTCTTCCTCCTATTCCACACACATGCTCATGAAAGAATTTAGGTAGCAAGCATTATTTTTAACAATTAACTTATAAGGGAAATCGTGCTAGGAAGATAAACAAGAGGACTAGAAATCAGAGCCTATGAAAGTTAGTACACCCTACTCTTTCCAAAATCAAATTTAAATTGATTTCATCAAAGAGGTGAGGTTTGAAAGGTCATATGGAGTAAAGAAATAACTGAGATTCAGTTTATGCAAAACAAGAAACACTAATAAGTCAACCTCATATGGATCCAAGATTGTTTTTCTAATCCTAAATATCCCTATAAGATACAGTGTTCATATGTCCAAAGATAATAGATGTATGTATGTACACTTATGCCATTCAGATGATTTACTTTTCCCCTTGAGATCTAGACAGAATTGATTTCTAGCATACAAACCATACTCCAAAGCAGGCTTTTTGTTTTTCAGTGACAGAGACTAAAATAAAATATTCAGGCCAAGCTCATCACCACATGGGGAATGATTCCTTATTGCAGAAAAAATACACCAAATAGGGGACTGGAGAGATGGCTCAGTGGTTAAGAGCACTGGCTGTTCTTGTAGAGGACCTGGGCTCAATTCCCAGCACCCACATAGTAGCTAATAACCATTGGTAACTTCAGTTTGAAGGTATCTGATGCCCTCCCTATTCTGTCTCCCATGGGCACTGCACGAAATGGGTGCACTTACACATGCAGGCATAACACTCATACACATAAAATAAAAATAAAGAAATAAATAAAATTTAAAAAAATACTTTAAGCAAACTTTTATTTTTTATCAATATTGGTCTCCCATATTTCCTAGTTACATGATTGCTAAGAAGCTGAATAATTAGGAGACTGAAGAAATGGTTCAGCTGGTAAAGGGCTTGCTGTGTAAGTGTGAGGCCTGAGATCAGATTCCCCAGCACTTACCCAAGAAGCCTGGTGAAGCAGCTCATGCCTGTAATTATGGCACTGGGGAGACAGAAAGGCAGATCCACGTAGCTCTCTAGCCAGCCACATAGCCAGACCAGTGGGCCCTAGGTTCAAACAAGGTGGAGGGTGATTGAGCAAGACACTTGATATTGCGTTTAACTTTCACACAGGCATACAGCCACATGCACAGGTGCAAATAAACATATATGAACACATAAAACACACAGACTCATAAAAGCTGAAGAATTGGCCTTATTTTGTTGAATTGTATTGGCTAATTAAGCTGCAAGTACCATTCACAAATGATAAAAAAGCACTATGAGAGTGCCTCCTTCCCAGCTAGGAGGGATTCTACTGATTCTATATGTGGGCCTAAATAACTTTATTTTATTTGGGAAGTTATTTCTCTGTAGCTTTTTTGTCCTTAACTTCCATAAACTAGCCCACATTGGGATCAGTCAGAACCAAGATATACAGCCAGGATTTTTCCAAGACCGAGTTAATTCATATTTCATGACCGGAATGCAAGGCCTTGTGAAGAGTGGAGCCTGGGCCAAGGAGACTCAGCATTGATGCTGATTCACCAATGGCCCCTTACTGTGTCCTATGTTCTCCTGTGAGGCCCCGTCTTCGTGATCACGAAATTTTATATACTGTACAGAAAGGATCCCACAGATTTCTCCTGAAGGAGAGGTTCAGTGCATTGCACTGAACCCCCATGTTTTCTACCTATTTGTATTCTTTATAGTAGAGCACTCAAAATAGGCCATATCGAGAATAATAGAATACAAATAATTTAGGTATTTTAGCACCTCCTGGGACTTCAGAATTACTTTTAACCCAGAAGACCAGTCTGTGAAATATGAAAGAATAAAGCCATTCTGGTTAAAACTGGGGTGAAAGACCCAGACCCTTGGCCAAACACTCATTTTTCTCCTGAAGAGCCTGCCGAAAGCAACAGTTCATATGCAGCTTTTAGAAACCATTTCCCTGAGTCCAGCGCTCTTTCTTCATGTGGGCTACTATTACTCTAAATCAATTCTCAATCACAACTTAGTTCTCTCTGATATACACTGTCATACTCATTCTCAACATTCTCTGATTTCTTGCAACAAAAGATGCTTCATAGATCGTGTCACTGGCCAGGTTCAGATTTGGATGCTCCAGGATCAATTTCTTTCTGTCTTAAGCATTTGTAAAATACACATATGTGCATGAAGTTGATTATCAAAAGTGATTATGAAGAGAGGGGACTCAAAATACAGCACCTGTCCTTGAACTACTTTAGTTTCTTCAATTAGAACAACAAGATATATAAGCAACAGAAAGTATAAAAAGGCCTTGGTTCACGGACAGGAAGTCACACAAATGCTGACGCAACACAGGTGTATCTGGATCTCAAAGAGAAAGAGAAAAACACCTGGAGAGTACGATATGGCAAGGGCAACCAGGGCAGACATCAGTAAGATGTGTGTGAGAAATGTTACACCCAAAAGAATTGGGTTACAGGGAAGTGGGATGCCCAAATGAGGTCACTGGAAAGTCAAAGGGTTTTTTATGGACAGGGAGTCATGGATGCTTAGCCAATGAGTTTTGGCATAATTTTATATGCAACGTAATCACCTATGTGACAGAGCAATGCTTCTGTGTCTTAGTTATATCATAATGTCAAACTCCTCTGACATACCTCAACCTCATTCTATAAAATGTGCTCAAAGTGCAATCTGTGGTGGCCTATCTGCCTCTCCTTTTCATGCATTTGATCATATAGATCTGGAAACCAAGACGCTCCAGGGGACTAAAGGTGAAAACAGTCTAAGCTCTACAGGCAATTTTCTTGTGGACAATTCTACAGTGGACTTCCAGAAACTTCCAGACAAAGAGATACTGAGAATGGCTGGGCCACTGACAGCAGATTTCATCATCAAGGTGAGCCCATTTGGTATCTTAGAATCGAGCTCATATCCAAACTGATGGCACTTATAATTTCTCAAGAAAAGAGAGACTTTAGTTTTTATATATTTTGGAAAGCCATTTTTTAACCCATTTATTAATTCAAAAGTGTTAATCTAGCTATAGCTTGGACTTTATAAGAATATATGATTTTTAAAGGAGTATCTATATATTTTTTTAATTAAATGGCCTCACTTGCACAGCCATCGTATCTATCTTTAGTTGGAGGATGTAAATTGTTTGTTAAAAAAATATAAGGTATCCTCAATAAAAGAGAAATACAGGCTGATGGTCTGTAGACTTGGCCAACTAGCCGTCTTCCAATAGTAGAGTCTGTTTTCTCTCATGCTGGCTTGAGGACTGACTTGCTTCCTTCTAACAGAGCTGCCCCACTCTTCAGGGTAATAGAAAACACATTGCTGGAAGCAGCGTGCACATTCTATTGGAAAAATGCACACACTGTGAGAACACTTGGGAATCACAATAAAATAAAACATTTTTTTTTCAGTAGGTCAGGAGGACTTGAAGGGTTTCAGCTGCAAAGCTGTAAAATTTGTAATCTTTCCAGAAATCCATAAATTTTTTCATCATGGGACCTGGAGCCAAAGGACTTTGATTTAAGCAAAGATTTGGTGACCCCGTGGCAGTTGGAAGTAAGAATGAATATAGGTAAATGTGATAGGCAACGAGGTTGAATGAAGAAGTGTTCTAGAATACAGTCCTTTGTCTCCATCTGTATGGTAGCTCCTTTTAATCCAATCCAGATGCTGGCCACGTGAATATGAACAAGAAGGCACAAACTACTAGAGATAGCTCAAAGATCTAGTAAAACATATTATATCTTAATTCTCTGAAACCCTTAGAGTACTGTTGAATAGACAATAGACCATGCATAGTAATTTCCTTAGTGGCCTTGAAACAGTTTCCATACTGAAAGTATTAAATTGAATTCAAGTAATACTGTGCACCTTGAATATTTCATGGCATCATCTAGCATTCTATCTAGTTATTCACTGCATATCAGCCCTGGATATTCTATAAGCACAGTGAGGTCGGTATATTCCAAATTGAACTGAAGCGGACCCAAGGACCTGCAAAGTCTTCTTTCATTGTTTTTCTTTTGTCTCCATCGTTTAAAACTTTTTATTAATTACTTTTAGTTAGCACTTAAAACAATGGGTTTCGTTTAGACATTTTCACACCTATGGTGCCCTTTGCATGTTGCTGAGCACTCCCCTTCCCCAGCCCTCCTTCCCTCTCCTGCTTGGCTCCTTCCCCAGTCCCAAGTAGTCCTCTTTGTGCTAATGTGGCATAATGTGCACATGGATGGCTATGAATGAATATTTAAGTCTAGGTTCTCTATGAATACTTTGCTTCTCTCCAATCTCTTTCTTTAGATAAGAAGTCTACTGTCTATCCAAGCATGTGGGAAACCTTTGGGTCCCCTGGCTTCTCCTCTTCAGACACTAAGCTGTGCTCTCTTTCCATAGTCTTAGGACTGGTCTTTCATCCCGGCTGCCTTTGCTTCGATTTAGGCCTTTGCCTTTTCTTGAACGAGCGAATACTGTGGATTCAGAATTGTTTTTCTAGCCTCTGATCCCTTTTCTACATTACCTTCATAATTCGTTTTCCAAAATCATGGGTCCTTTTGGGAATCCTTTATAGACCTACGCCTCCACTCCCTTTGAGGTTAAGCTGAGAATCAGCTCCTTTGGTGATCTGCATTCTCCCTCCCTTTCCACCCCCTCTTTTGACTTGGCCCCGTCTGTTCCAGCGACTGAGACTGCGGGTCCCCCATACTTTCCCTCTCATAGGCTTCGAATAATACAGTGGTCCCTACCTGGAATGGTCCTTTCTTTTCCTCTCTGGCACCTTCACTAACTCTCATTTGTCCTTGAGCATTTCTTCCTGGAAAAAGCATTCTGTGAGTTTTCCCCACATTTGTTTGTTTTCATCTCCCCATCTCTAGAGGGAAGAGTCTGCACTGTCTTAATTTCTTAATAGGAGCGAACCATAAAGCATGAAAGAGTGCTGAGAGATCCGCAACTTTTCACCTCTCAGACAGCAATAGTTTCATAATAACAGATGATGATTTTTATTTTATCTACCATGAAATTTAGCTTCAGGAAAGTTCTACCCATGGTAAACTGGGACTAGGAATCCTACTTCCTTTCCTCCGGCCCAGAACTCATTTCAGTTTTCTATAGTGCTGCCAGAAATGTATTATTTTCTTCTAAGGTTTTGTTACAAAACATCTGGAGTCAAATGAATGCAAAGTTACTATAAATTAGATTATGTAAAAGTTGTAATATATGCTCTGAAAATGAGCCAGATAATTCAAGAAATACATAAAAAAGAGAAAATTGCCCTTTTATCAGTTAATCACAAAAAATAAATTTGTTTCTTCAATAAAAGACCTAAAAGTAAAAGATTACAAGTTCATTATCATTTTCCAGATTTTGCTGTTAAAAAATGAGTTACACAGTATGTAATTCAACCTCTAATAGTCAAAACTGAGTCTCTTCTGCATTGTGTACTTTGATCAAGCAAATGCCTTATAGGTTTAAAAGACAGTGTATTTAGGCCTCAAACCAGTTCACATTAATGAACTTCATTGGAAACTCTGAGCTCTTCTTCACAATTATTCCAATTAACATGCATACTGTATTTTTTTGTTTTTTTAATTTATTATTATTTTTTTACATTTAGTAACCACATGATTAGAAGAAGCATTTCATTACAGCTTTAACATATTCAGTAACTCACACTCCAGACCAAGGATACACCTCTTTCAAA